ATGTGTAGTTAAATCATACTCCTGTAATGCTGTTGTCCAGCATGCTATCATTCCTGTGGGTTTTTAAAGTTCTTCAATCATTTCAGCAACAGATGATCCACTTGATCAGTAAACCTTCTACCATACAAATAGTGAATAATGTGCTTTATGAAGACCGCAAATGGAAGAAGTTCTTTCTTTATTGTAAAATAGCCGAGTTCAGGAGCTGCAAGTGTATAAAAAATATACATGATTGGACATTCTACTGTGTTGTGCAAATGTAATGCTGCTCTGATTTTACTGTACTATCACTGGAGTCAGGAACTCATAATCTTGTCATAGATATGCTAAAAATGTGACTTCTTATAGAATACCATTAAAGAACTGGAGTGTTTGCTAGCATTCCTCAGTCCATCTGAAGTGCATCTCCACTTTGATGAAAGTCGGTAATAGTGAGGCTATCTTAGAGAAGTTGGCTACAAACCATCATTTACAGATTAAGGCCAATCTTGGACATTTCTACTTTAGCAGGAACTGTGGAGATTCCTACTCTTCACACAACATGATCATATGCATTAACACAATCTTTCTTGGTTTCATATTTTCAAGCTTGGCTTGTTTACTTGCTGTAATACAATTTTCAGATACTAAGCCACAACCTTAAACATGTGATGTTGTTGACATAGATCAGGTACTTCTCCCATTGCAGTCCTTTCAGTCTGAACTCCATTAGCATCTTAAAAGTGGTTACATTACACAGGCCGAATAGCATGAGGCAAAACTCACACAAGCCGCTCTTGTGCTGAAAACAGTCTTAGGTCTATTCTCGTTTTCCAGCTCGACTTGACAGTATCCAAATGCCAAGTCTGATATATTGAACTAACAGGTTCCTTCATCTATTTATGGTAATGGAAAGTATCAACGTAAGTTACTGTGTTCAACCATCTAAAATCAATGAAAAACTAGACACACCTTCCTTCTTCCTGCCAATCGCTAGTGGAGACAGTCAAGCAAGCTCTGAGGCTTTACATTCACATATACTATATTACAGCACTGGTTACAGGGAAGCCTGTGCTACAGTTTTTTAATCAGGTGTGAGGAACGTGTGTGTATGTAATGTTGTGTGACTGTTATTTGACTCCATCAAAAGTATGGTCTCATAAATATATTGGCATATTCTGCCAATAAATAACTACGTTACTGCCACCATGTTGAGTCTAGATTGTCTGCACAATCCTCAGCTAGGGACCTCAGAAGTGTTGGTAACCGAATATTCCCTTTCAGACATGGTATGACTTATACCACCCTAACATTACACCTAGTATCAATTACTTCCTCTTTTCTTATCATGATGATGTCCATAACAGCTTGCACCTGGATAACCAATCATCCATAACTGCAGAAAAGCACCATTAATTCTACTTGGTATTCAGAGAGGAAGCAGCTTATTTTATGTCTGGGCATTATAACTACATTACACAGCTCCAATTCGTTATACATCCATAGTAAACCATAGAACACTACTTGTGTACATGGGGATACTATCTTTTCTTCTATAACATATACTCATGCAGCCTCTCTTCTTGGACTTGATCTGGCATCAGATAATTCTACCATAAAACATCAGTTCACCAGTTGCACAGGAAAACTGACTGATAAGCTTTGTAGTATGCCCATCCCAAGGATGACAAATACAGAAGTGAAGTCAATAATAACTACCTTCTTGCTGTAAGCAAGGCCTCCTAGACAGAGATCAGAGTGCGACTTTTCATTCATGTTTAGTTCACCTTCATTCACTAGAACAAAGTTCAGGTTGAATGGTTTAATGATGGTTTTTCTCAGAGCACCTTATATCCTAATGATATCTACCTGTTTTCTGGCCATTCTTGTTTAAGCCAGGAAATCTATCTGCCACTCTTTTACTTTGAAGCACATACCAAGACCTGTCCAACTCTGAAAGAGCAGGGCTGGCTATCACACTTTTTTGGTGCAAGTTCTTCGCTGCACTCCTCCAAGTTGGTGATCAGGTTCAACTTGGGATCCTCTAGTTTTCAGAGCTGTGCAAGCACTATTTTCACCTACTGTTTGATCTTCTTCACCTGTTGCATCATCGTGCAATACCAATAGACTGGGATAGGCCTGCTCATTCAATAGATATCATTGTAATGTATTAAAAAACTGGGTTGTTTGGGTGTGTTGTATATACAAGACTGTTTAGTTTAAGAATTATTATTTAGTTTATTTAGTGATTTAATATTTAATGATTATTTATATTTCATAAAAAGAATGTTAAAAGTTAATTATTTTAAAGGGATAGTTATGACAAGTTTGGTTACGTAATTCTGTATGAGTCGTAGGTTGTGTAAGCAGTTTGATTGTTGTACTAGGCTTTTGTAATATTGTTGACGTCATCTTATACGAAGCTTCTAAGTTTTCTCGTTATTTGAATACTATTGTCACTAGAGGACTAGATATTTCTAGATTTTTCTTTCACATGATACAGAAAGTAAGCTTGTGAAAATGAAAATAATAGTGAAGTTAAACTGTGTATGAATTAGCCATAATGGGTGATTTCTAAAGTGAGTTTCACAGCCTGTATTGTAATAACAGATAGAGGAGAATAATTTGTCTTGTCAAAGGGTGTTCTAAAGTAATTGAACACGCCTATGTGGACTTTGACGAAAAGGAGACAAGTATTTAAAGTTCTGGATACAACTGTGGTAACCAACAGCTCTAGTGGTGATTTTAAAGTGAACTTCACCGTTTGTATTGTAACAACAGTGGTAGAAAAGGATAATTAGTCTTGTAAATTGGGTTATAAAGTACCTGAACAAGCCTTTGTGAGTTATTTAAAGCTCTAGATTCAACTGTGGTAACCAATAGTGTAACAATTTTTTGTACATACGTTTAACTTGTTTTAAATATATTATTTTAAAGCAAGTGGATTGTGTGCTGTCCCTTTATAGTTTAAATTTACCGTCAACAAATTACAGACATATACTGTAAAGAATCGCGGTCTTATACAAAACCTGACAGGGTTGTTGGTTAACTCTCAGCTGAGTTCAAACCTACTTGAAATACTTCGGAAAATGGTCCAAATTCTATTGAATGTTGGCAGAAAGATCTACTTCAGATTGTTCACGTGAATAACCATCATATCCAGAATCTCTCCTTCCCAACTTACTGTCTTTGATGTTATAGGCACCGCATTGGGGTACTCTCAGGAACCTGGCACTGTGATGAACAGTAGACTCCTGTTCTAGGACAGCTGAATCAATGTGCATGACCTCAGATTTTATGTGACCCAAGGTTAACTCAGCAATATCCTCTTTGCTTGAAGAGGCTTATCACTGCCCCATGGGCCATTTACTTTGTCATTAAGTGCCACCATCACATGGTTTGGTGATAAGATAGCTCTTGTTGGTAGATGCTTTCCACCAGTGGCACGTCAAGTCTCTCTTTCCAATGTTCTTCAGTGGCTTCAACCAAGGCTGAGGTTGGGTTACTCCAGATAGTGAAAGTCTAAGGGTCCAAAACAGATCATTCCATTCGGTTTCAGACTCGTCAGATGTCATATCACTGCAACAATCCTCAGTCATCCATGTTTCAGTTGCACTGAGTTAAATCCTCAGGGGAAGAGCATGAACAGCTATTCTGGGTGCACCAGACATTGGTGACTCTTCTTCTTGAATCATCGGCTGTGATGAGATTGAAGTAATGGACTTTCGAAGTCTACTGTCTAGGGAAGAACTTTTAGTCAACTTGACTTAAAACTGTTTTCATTCAGTGACGGATGGCACATTTTGGTTGTAAGTCCTTCTAGCTGTGGAAAATGTTACTTCCATCTCTATAAAGCTTTCGAAACTAAGAGCACAAGAGTACAATTAAAGGGTATTACACTCTTTAACACGGCAAACTTTTAAGATATCCTGTAGTCACGGCAACAAACATATTCTTATCACTATGTGGTATACACAGGTCAAACTGAATTGACGTAAGAGTGACGGGTTAGGTCCACAGAGTAACAGGAGATTTGGTCAAGTTATTTATTATGGAATAATACTGAATCTCTGAATAACTGAGTCTGAGAAAGGCAGAGACTGGATACAAGAAAATGCAGAAAATGAACAATCTTTATTAACTCACATACTAAGTATTCTTGCTTGCCATTTTAAAGTACGGGATGGTCATTTTTATTGGATCCTTCTCTAGACTACTTACTCTTCAAGGTTGTGTATTAAACTACCTAAATCCAATGATCTGTACTTTGCTATAAATGTATTTACCCAGCGTGACGTTTTCATTCAAACATAGGTGAGGCCATAACCTCGATACACCACCTGTTCTACATTCTTGCACAGCGTACATCTCCTAATGAATGACAAAAGAATAAAGGCAGTTAGTACGCGGTAAGGTTATAGCTTTTTCGACAACATGTTATGCGAAGATTCCACGTATACAGAATAAAGGATAAATAAATAATATTATAATTTAAGAAGATAGAAACACATGGTATATTTATTAACTACAACAGCAAAGTTCAAACTTTTGCTGAGGATATCCTCTTATGCACATGTTAAAGTTAAACCTTGATAACTTAGCCATATTTTCATTGTTTGTATCCTATTTTTTTAGTATTGGCTGAGAGAAGCTGAAATTTAGAGAAATACTCTGTTTTTTTCGTCAAATGTCCCCCGGTGGTTCAGCGCTAAGTTTACGGACTTACAAACCAAAAATCCGGGGCTCGATTCCCCGCAGTGGACAGAGTGCAGCTTTGCACTAATAAAACAAAACTCTCCTCAAATATATTCATAATAGCTGCATAGTTTCGTCAAAAAAATCTTGCAGTTTATTTCGACTAGCTCTTAGTTTCTATATAAATAAATCCATTTTTGCAAAGAATAACTTTTAGAGTTATGTATGAATGTTATATTTTCTTCTATTGTATGTTTATTATAATATCACAGTTCAAGTAGACATGGAGCAAATATTGGACCAACTCCTCGTTCTACTGTGATTACCCGTGAGCCCTGGTACAGAGGCAAGATGGAGGATTTAGTTGTGGAGGTGTGTGGTGAAAATGGTGCTTACTATAAGGTAAATATTTTAATGTTCATCAGTAAGTGGTAAAGAAGTCTTAGGTTTATATATTATATATTTGTTCATTAAAAGAAGGAAATACTTAATTGTATATTAATCTTATTTACACACGTTAACGATGAACAAAAGACTTAACACGTTATTGAAAGAAACTACTGTGACTTCGGATAATGTGCTTGGATTCACCTCTACTCAAGAGTTCTGTTTAGGCTTAACGAAAGTAATGCGATTGCTAGTTTTACCGGTAATGGTGCAATAGCACTCTGCTTATATTATAGGCTTAAACTAAAGCCTAATTACTGTCATGTATTGTGTATCTTGCATTTACAAGTTACACTACGGGTCGGTTATGTTGACACTAGTCAGCGTAAATGACCGATATAAATGTAAATCCAAAACCAAACACGTTGGGTGTGATTATTACTGACAGTAACACTAGTAGTAGTAGTAACACTATGCTATTGTTAATAATTTTTAACGTTACGTTTTTTTTTTTTGTCAAATAATGAGGTAGTTTATTTAGACAAAGATAGTTTATGATATAGATGCCAGGTCCTACCTTTTGTTAGGCCTAACCATAACAACAACAACAAAAGAAAAAAAATTGAAATTTGTGTATGATGTTTGTTGAATTTGACAGAAGTACCAATTTTAACGATGAATTATAAATCGTAGTTGTATTATGAATATTTTAAGTTATTTTCATTACTACTTGTATATTGTATTAATCATTAGGTAGATTGTCAAAACTAGTAGAAGGATATGTTAAAATGTTTATAGAATGGTGTAACTTATTATTGGTGTAGCAAAAAGGAAAATTAAATATACTATTTAACCTTTAAAAGTTAAAAGATCCAAACTGTTTCACATGTTAGTACTATAATTAAACTTTGCTATTCTACTATTCTTTTTAGTTCTTTAGGTTTGTCATTATCAAATTCAAAGCTCAAGATGACCCATGGAGTTTTATTATTATTAAAAAATAAGTTAGTGTAGTACTGGTGTAGTGGCAGTTTCTATTGTTTACTGTGATAAAGTCTATAATATGGATGGTGTATAATTTTTAATCCATTTCTTCTTTTTGTATAAAAATTATACCATTTTGTTAAGTAAAAATACCCTTTTTAAAAAACAAACCCATCAGATTCTTCAATGGTAAATTATGAATCAACTTGCAAATTTATATTGTGGGTGTAATTTTTTATTAGATTTGTTCATGCATTTTAATGAAGAAGTAGTAGTTTTTGTAAATACTTTTATAACACATAAGTGTTCCGTACTTTTATTTTCCTACTGATTTCAGCAGTGTCATTGAGCATATGCAACCATAAGCACACTACTTTGAAAGGGGAATGATAGATAAACAAAACAACTCTCAATGACTTTCAGACAAATTCTGAAAATCTCTTGGGTCAATTTAAACAAGCTATATACAATGGAATACTGAAACTAATAAGTTACGTAACTAATAAAATCTGTAAGTATCAACAGAAGGTATATTTTTAACAAAATTTTTAAAAATTGTTTTCACTAACAGTTGAAAGATAAGATGCACTAACCTTTGACTGATGACAAAACTGAAGTTATTACGATTATCAAGATTTACTTTTCTAGGATATATTATACATATAAGTGATGTGAAGTTAAAGAAAAATTCTACTTTCTCTTTTAGGGGATGTTGATGTTCATAGTCACTATTTTTTAACTAGGGCTACAGACTTGCTGAATGAGTGTATAAATAGAAAGTAGAAGTGGATTATGTTTAAGAAAATGTTGATAGACATACAGTTCACGAAGTACAAAAAAGTATTGAAGTGTTTTCTGAAACTCAAATTTTTACCAATAAATATTTTTTCTGATTGTGTAGTTTGTTTGAAAGAATTCCGTAGTCATAGATAAGGGCTAAATAAATAAAAAATTTAATCAGAGTTGCTGTGTATAGTTCTAATTTCAGAACTTTGCACAATAATGTAAATGCATTCAGTATTAACTTCTTATGAGAGCAAGCTACATAAGATCAAAAAGTAAAAATCTATCCAGTAATGAGTGTAGATAATTAAATTAATTTTTATTATATTCTTAGTTATAAATATTAAAATGCATTGTTTAATCAGTTGGGGGTACCCTTACTGTTAACAATATTTTTGACTGTAAATCCAATAAATCTAGTAAGATTTGCCAAGCTTAGAAGATTTTGTTAGTCCTAAATCTGTATACTAAGCCAGCAATGCAAAACATTTGCTATGATAAAACTAGATATATGAAGCATTCTAACCAACACTGTTGATGAAAGTAACATTAAACAAAGAATAGAGTATACCTCACATACGGAACATGCAAACACAAACTTGTCACCTTCAAGTACCTAAAAAGCATTACTGTTCTTGTAGTGTCTGAGATTTATGATAAGGTACTAGAATCTTTGATGCTGGTAATGTGATTTGTAGTGTATTTTTAGACTTAGCGAAAGAGTTTGATACTTTATAACGTAACATATTTTTAGGTAAATTGTAGCATTAGAAGAGATATAGCTTTGAACATCTTAAAAAGTTATCTGAGTAACAGAAAACTATACATCAATTAAACATTTTCAATCTGATTATTTAAGTTTTGGAGTTCCATAAGGATCTACTTTAGGACTACTGTTATTTCTTATCCATATAATTGACTTTGTAAATGATAGTTCATTTTAACGTTACTCTTTGGTGATGATACTAACTTGTTTATAACCAGTAATAACTTATTGGATTTACAATTAATAGTTAATAGGAAAAATAATTAAAATAGATAAACGGATGTTAGCGGTATATGATAAACTTTCAATTTTTATTAAATAAATAGAAATTTTGTTAAATAATAATAAATACAAGTCACTTTGAGATAAAAAGTTAAAATCAAATATATAGGAGTCATTATTGATAATAAATTAAATTGGAAGCAACATATAAAGATGATTAGTACTAAGCTATAAAAAATTAGCATGTTAAAATTGAGCTATTATGTTAAATCTGAAATATTGTAAATGATTTATTATGCACTTATATATCATTATAGTAATTATGAAATGGGGTTGGCTAATATTACATACATACAATATTATTCATAGTTAAATTATAAAATAAATGAACTTTGGATCAAGGATAGACCATGTAACACCATGCTATTTGACTTCAACTATTCTGAAAATCAGTGATATTTTTAAATAAAATTTATGTATGAATTTACCAATAAAATATTATTTGTAATTCTTCAAATTTTATCAAAGTAAGTGATGTTCATAATCCTGTTGCTAGACTAGCTGCTTCCTGACTAACTTCTCTGTGTTCAAATTTCGGTTAAATTTAGAGGAGTCAAATTATGGTCTGAAATATCTATTATTTAAAAGAGCTTAATTTTTTACTATTTAGTATGGCTCTCGGGATTGAGCTTTTAATGTTTATTCAGTCATTTGTAAGAATTCAGTTGAAGTTAGTCATCATAAGGGTAGATGACTAATTGGTATTTTTTTGCCATCCTGCATTTAAAATAATTGTTAATCATTACGTGCATTTTATAACTTGTTTATAAATGCAAATAAATATATTGGTGTTATTTTGAAATAGTGGTGCAAATGAAATTGTGATTGAAGTAATTTCATATTGTTGTGTCTGATCAATTGTACCTCAGAATTTTATTTGATGCTGTTTTAGGCACTGTATTGTTTAGTACATAATAGCAGGTTTTTGTAGACAGACTTTAATATACATATAGTTTGTCTGGCATGGCATTGATATTGGTGTAGCTTATGGTTGTATACAGTAATTATGATACAACTGTAAACTGTTTTAAATTGATTTATGAATATTTAATCTACACTGTATTAATTTCATCACTATTTTTCTCATTAGCTATAATGATGAATAGAAAGTATTTTGCTTTTTCCAATATGAATGGTGATTATTTAATCTTAACCATATAACACTTGATTTGAAAGATTTTAATAGACATATTAACTGCAAATAAGACAAGGATAACTTTCCTATGATAAGAAATTGTAAAGGAAACTTTATGTGGAGATACAAATGTGGCTAAATGGTAAATAATTATTTCTGTTATTTTTAATAATGAGAGAGATGAACAAACTGTCAATCTGGCCAACTTCTTTAAAGTCGAGGAGTATTTTTTTTTTCAAGTTACAATTATGTTAAGAAAAGTTGTTTTAGAAAAGCTTGGGGAAACTCATTGAGTATACAAGTAAAGCTTTTTTCAGATGAAGGTCATAAACCCTTAACTATGTTAATTTCCCCACTAACTATTAGTAAGTAGTTCATGACTTCGTGAAACATTAACTTATATTTTTTAAACAGCTCTTGACACTGGAAAAATTTTATGTAATGACCCGTGAGACAGTGTTTTTTTTCATGTAACAAAACGGCATCTTTACTAAAAGGAAAACTAAGAATTTTTCAATGTAAAATAATTTCCTTACACATGATAATAGTACAACAGCAAAAACATGAATAAATATATTACTAATTTCATAATAATGTAGAGAAATGTTCCAGTGCATAATATAGTAATAACTTGAATAGATCTAGATTAAATCCACCCAGAGCATTATAGATTATTCCATTACTACTTAAATTGAGTTCACACAATACCCAATAAAAACTTCTCAAAATACTATTACATATACTTCAGTGTGTTGCCTATCTCTGACGTATAAAGTATATGTGTCTTTCCAGCCTTTAAACATAATTCACAGACTTAACAGTTGAGACAAATGGATAGTTATAAGTATGTTTTCTGTAAAGAAAATTTAATTTAGGCATATAGGAAGAAAGATGTAAGTTGTAATTTTGAAAGGATCATACAAAAATTTTTTTAGACTACATATATGCAATACTGCTATTTGACTAGTGTAGGGTTGCTTCAGCACAGTGATCCATGTTAACCTTTGTTTGTCAACTATATTTCTTCTTTTTTCTTTTAAACTTAATTTTAACATTGGACACTTATCAGGGTATACCTACTGCAGTAAATCTAGCCTTACTAAACATAACTTGATCACCCCCTAAAATTGATTAAGATGCTGACTGTATTAACTGTTCATTATTATAATCGTTATTTAAAAATTGTTCATGTGATTGTGTATATATATATATATATGTTATTGATCTATAAATGTATTATTTGAGAGAATTCCGTATATTTACTGTAGCCATACATGTTGTAAAAACAAATGTTAGATTTTAATAATGCACTTAATCTTTTTAGTACTTTGTGTGTGAAAATCAACCTAAATTTTGTAACAACAGTATACTGTACATTTAAATACTAATTGAACCACTAGTCACTGCAGACTAGTTTTATGTGAGTCAGTATGGATGAATTTACTGGTAAGGCTTTTTCACATAGATTATACTAAAAATTATCCTGCAAGGATTCAGTATACATTTAAACATTTTGTATTTTATCTGCCTGTTTGAAATTGAATCTTATGCAAACAGAGCTTTGTCATAAATCATGTACCCCAAATGTATGTACTGTTCATAGATTTTGGTAAATCTTTTTCAATCATTTGCAGTATTTAAAAAACAACTGTAACTAGATTCATCCTCTGAATGTAGTTCATTAATACATTATCAGAAAATTTGTGTACTTTCCCTTATGGTATAGGAATGTAATTTTGTTACATGTAAATATATTTTTGTATTATGAACATTTTAACTTTTTTTTAAATTTACTTGTAATTATAGTAGTATATTAACATTCTTAAACTTAACCGATGTGACAAAACAACTGTACATTTTTGTATAACAATATAATAACCTTTTGATATAACATAAAGTTTTTATTGGACTTTTCTTTTTAATTGGTAGTGCTAATAGTGAATTAACAGTTATTGTTTTCATACTTAATTTGTTTAAAAAATAACTTCGTATGCACTAAATATGAGTTATTAAATCAATACCTTAGATTAAAATTTGCTCTGTATTTTAATAATCCAGCTAATTTCACCAATTTTATTTGAAGGTACTTTTTAGTGTTAATGTCTTGAAATAAATGGCTTTAGTATTTGGATATTAGTTGGATTTATGCTTAATAGTGACATATACACAGAGAACCATGCAAATTCTTTTGATCGTGTAAATGTAGTGCTTATTAATTGATATGTTTTTCATTTATTCCATTTTTTTTCCTTTGCTTTTGACATTTATTACTGTATATGGAATATGAAAGATATTTGTGTTTTGATAGGATAATTTGCATTTCAGGCTTATGTGACGGACATTCATGATGATGAACTTACAGTAGCATTTGAAAATGAGTAAGTACAACTTGCCCATAAATTTATACCTAACTGTGTCTGTATTTTTAGTGGCTACCCAGTACAATAATTATCCCGAAAGTAAAAAATTACTATCTTATTTTATGCAGAATAAGGACGCATTAATATTTGGACACTTTCTTCTGTAAACTTGCTAATTAATTATGATGCAGCTGTGTTTAATCATGGAACATCCAAAGCATTCATTCAAAGTCAGTCATAAATGGCTTTCTTTACTTTAAAACAATGATTGCTCTTTGTAAAAGGTAAATCCTATCTGTTGAGTAGGATTTGTAATTGCTTTACATAAGATGCGAGTTGAAGGTTTGACAATTAGAGTTGACTTAATTTCTCTGATTAATTTATTTATGCAGTATGATTTTATTCTGCATTATTAGCATAATACAATACACAGTAAACTTTTAAAATTTTGTGGAAGGTGTGGGTAGTTACAAGAAAACAATGACTTCAGCGTTTCACAAATCACTGAAGTGGCTAAGACAAAGTGTGACTTAACTGTTAGTATGCCTGACTTCATATCAAAAGAACAAAGGTTCAAGCTGTAATATACTGCTGAACTTCCTTCCCCACTTTAAACTTAGGGATTATTATAATTGTGACAGATGATTGGTTAAGGATAGCAGTATGGGTAACAGATGCTGCTGACTCATTGCCCTCACCCTGGTTAGTAGTACTTTAATTTAGAGATGGGCATTTAGTAAACTTTAATAATTCATTAATCATTGGGCTCACTATTAAGCAATAATTAACTAATTGATTATTTTCACAATATGTAGTTAAGCTGTAATCTTCTAAACTACCAATAATCAGAAACACTAATTTCAATGAATGTAATTGATGCTCATAGGTGATCAGTTAATCAAGATATTGCCCAGCTCTGACTAAATTAGGAATTTCTATGTCTGAACCTCAGACATCATTATCTTTGCCATTTAACCTATTTGTTGTGTAAAGTGCCACTTAGTTTCAAAATACAAAATTCTGAGATGGCTGCCATAAAATATTAATAAAAGTTGTGCCCTACTTTATACAACATATGATCATTCTTTGTTTAATTTCTATTGAAAGAAAATGTTAAGTATTTTTTCCTATGCAAAATTGTAGAATGAACACCTATTTTCAGAAACTGGTGGAAGTAGCCACTTAATTTTATATTTAGCAGTATTCATATGGGTCAAGAAAATCCTGGATATTCATGGAATTTGAGATTTTAACTTGAAAACAAATGGGTGTGTCTAATCTGTTGTAAAGAGTGTCTTATTGCATTATTGCATACTGGATGAAGTATGAGACTTGAAATAGTAGCTTCGGTAAATAAAATATTCTATTTTACATGTGATATTTTTATGAATTCATGGCTAGGAAAATATGAAAAGATTTATGTGATATTTTTTTTTAATTAAAATGATTACCTTTATTGTAGATTTCAATTACTGATTCTTATGTCATCCTTCATTCTTGTAAAGCCTTACTATAAAGTTTTTATTACATAAAACTGTAAAGTTTTGTCATTTGTTAAATTGGGAGAAAGACAACTTGTAAAAAAAAATAACAACTAGAACAATTTCACTGATAAACACCAGCATTAACTTGTAAAATTATCCTAGATACAAATCAGGAAAATGATAATGTATTAAAACTGTGTCATAAACTTGTTGCCAAAGTTACAAGGATAACAATCTCACCTGAGCAATTATGGTTTTACTGCAACCTCTTGAACATATTAAGAAAAAGCTTGAAACTTAAATATGATATCAGTATGTGTACCTTACAGATTCAGAAAAGATTTACAAACATGGCCACCAAGAAAATCAAACAGTGGCAAGATAAAAATTGCCTTAAACCAAGAGAAATCCAGATGTTTTAAAAACTATCATTTTTACTTTATTAGTGAGCAGTACAGCATTATAATACTTGTAATTGTACAGAGTACTATTGTACAAACAATAAATGAAATCTGTTTGATGTTTTTAAAAATTAAAACAGAGCATATTAAATAGCCTTCCTTTTCAAAAAGGAAAAATTAATTTTGTGCTGCACAAATTTTCAATCAGTCATTAGCAGTTGGTATTTACACTTTGTATCTTTTTGGGTACTTTGCCAACAGTTACAGCCAGTACTGCTTTGTTTTGTTATTATAAGAGGGGAATAACCTTTGTAACATGCTCAAAAATACTCTCTTCAAAACACAAAGAATGGCTGCAGGAAATATTTTAGAAGTGCTTGGAAAAATGCTTCCAACATCCACAATAAAAAATCTCAAAATGCTGCTTCTTATTTCAGAAGGAAGCAAACTAAAAACATGTTTAATATGTGAATATGTTATTCTAAGAAATATTGACACTGCATAGCTAATTGAACAAACATATTTTTTTCTTTTAAACCTTTTGACTCAAAAATAATATTTTCAAATTTCGTACATGTAGCTGATTCAGTTTTTTATTATATATTTTTATCAGAGTTTAATTTTGTATTAAGAAAATTTTCACACATTGTTTGAAAGTTACTGCTAGTTACAGGATGTAAGGAAGATGTTTGTAAAAGCTATGTTAACACTGAACAAACCAAAATTTTGTTTTGCCAAGGTGAAATGTGAATTTCTGATGTCTTGTTAAGTCTTATTCATACAAGATCAGTCGATGTGACTGACCTTATAACCACAAAGTATCAATCAGCATTTTCATACTATAACTTTTATAATGTTTAGTGTATCTTCACTAAATCTACAAGTTTTTTGTACATAAAAAATTAGCTTTTTTAATTAAGTATTTTTATTGAAGATTTGTCCATGAATATATAGGTTCAGTGTTGAATGCTCTGAGTGCAAAGTGATTTTCATGTTAAGATTAAAAATACTTTTCTTCATCTCAAAATTTTCATATTTTATTTGCATAACCTCTAAATCCTCCTAAATAAATATGAAACATTTGTTTTTCAGCAAAAACTTTATATTTTATCTGTTATTTTCTCTACCTTAAGTCTATATGGACTTGTTCGATTTAACCAACCTTGTATCCACTATAAAAAGTACAAAATAAATCTAAGTTATCCTTTTTTATACTTTCTAGAATGACTGCACTAACAGATAACTACAATTGTGTATCTTAAATAGCTTAAGGCTCATAACAGTCTACATCTGTTTATATTTAATTTTATTGTTTTATTAGGTTGTGAACTCTGTCTAACTAATAATCCCACCATACAAGTTGTAAATCACTTAGCAAACATAGCTTACATTATCATATTGAATGACATAACACAAGCTGCTCATGAGCATAGGTCATGAAGAAATTTTATGATTATTTTTTATTATTTTACTTAATCTAACCTTACCTAACTTAATGAGTTTCTAATTTTTACATCTCAGTTACTTTTATAACAATAAATAAAGAATATACATTAAAAACAAGAAATGTTATATTTTTCTTTTGACTTAATTTTTTTGCTGTCAGTTGGCAATATGAAATTTAAGCCCACTCTTCTTATAATAATAATACTAGTACACTAAATAATTTTTATTTACTTAAATAATGCACCTAAGAATGCAGAATATTAACACACACAAAGCAAACAATGTCCTATAACTGTTATAATTTAAGTGGCTTTCTACAATAGCATAAGAATCTTAGAATAATTTTCTAAACTTCTCCAGCTGAACACTGTGTAAGAAACTTTCAAACTGAAGATAAAATAGATAATACTGATTATAAATGATATAAAACATCAGAGAAAATTATTGAAAGTTTGTGAAAGAGAGGATGTGACAGCAGGGATAGAAATAATGAAATAATATTACATTAACTCAAGGGAAAGCTATCAGGAAGATTACATTTCCTCATGAATTGTTTTTACTTAATCCATGCAACATGTTCACTTTCACTGGTCATAACTAAAGGAATATGGATGAAACATGCTTTCCCAATCTGGAAAGCCAACTAAAAAGATGAAATTACTCAAGCAAAGTTATTCCTCAGGGGAATGTAATATTTCGATCCCTGTGGCAAGTGGGTCTGACTTTCTAGTTTAAGTCTTCATAAGCAAAAAGATTGAAGACTATAAAATTAGTCTTTACCTTAGTAATATCTATATTATAATGAGTAATTTATATTAAACCCCTTACTTCAGAGAGGGGTGGTAAAATAAACTGGAGAATGGACAAGGGGAGCTTGAGAATTTATTTAATTATTTCCTTTTAAAATTAAGATATTAAAACTTATTTCAAAATTTTAACTGTTAACTATGATTTATGCCAAGTTTATTCATATACATTGGTAATAAAGTAGTTTAATTAAATTTGTAATGTTACTATATAAAAGGTTGTGACATGTGCACTTTAACCTACCCATAACGAGAGAGTTAAATATAAGCTGCATTTTCAATCAAGATTTGAAAGCAAGTGAGTGTAAACCAATAAAATTTGTGCAAGTTCCTTGCATGTAAAAAATAACCATTAATGTAATATTGCATTTCTCTTGTTCACAGGATTGTATTTTACTATGCTAGACAATTTTTAGTGTGGTACATATTAAATTTTTTTTAAAGAAAAAAGGCCATGCAAGCTATTTTGTTATACTAGAATATTACACAAAATTTGTAGACATTTGAAATTCACAAGCTCCAAAAGTGGGAAATCTCAGGTAACATCAAAAGGGTGGTTTGGCATATTAGAATAATATAACCAAAGTTAGAATAATAATACGTTCCTTTTTTTATCTTAAGCAATGTTTAAAAAAATTCCTTATTATGAAAGTAACAATCCTTCTTGCCTCAGACTCAATCATTTAAGTTATCAACAATATGCTTGGTGAAATCAAATTTTTAAAGCAATAATGTTTTCTATATTTAATTTTAGTATCATCTGTATAGCAGGTGTAAATGCAATAATATGAGCACATACTCTTAAGTAATTATGAATTTAGATTATTTAAAAAAGGAATTCAGAAACTTGTAGTCACCTCTAAGCACAGCAGAGAGATATT